CGAGTCCATATGGATCGGCCGTGCGAAGAGCGTTGAGGAACAGGAAATCGCTCAAGGAATGGGCTGCGCCGGCTGCAACTGTTCCTTCCTGGTTTTATGAGCGTAATACCGTGGTTAATGGAGGCGATGGCCATGCCGCTTCAGATCTTCCACTAGTCAAGATAAGCAAACCGGGGCCGGAGAAGGCCAAGGATACGGCTGATGGCATGGCCCACGGTGGTAGTGGCGATGGAGAGCCGTCCGAATCCAGTGGTGTGCCCGACACCGGGGAGCGGTACGCTTTGACCGAGGCGTTGTGGGAGGAATTATGCGCATCTGCGAAGGCGGGCTTACGACTTCCCCCTGCAAAATATGCAAAAGAACCTTCGGCACGAAAGTCCCATCTCGTTCTTCAGTACCCCGGTGCTGATGGCATTTTGTTCCTAGATGCGGTTGTAAAAAGGCTAGGGCAGGAACTTGGTGCTGACGTGGTGACGCTCAACGCTCAAGATATTGCGCAACTATGCAGCGAACAGGACCTAGAGGATGTCGGCACGACCTCGCCTATTAGGTCTCTTGGCTATGATGTATACCGTCCAACGGCTTCGGAGTCCTGGCATGACGACAGCATGGGTGATGGAGATGATGAAGCTGAGGTTGAGATCTCTCCGCGCAGTTTGCGACCTGGTCTGAAGGGCCCAAAGTTTATCACTATTGAGAGTTCCCGAGAGGCAGGCGACATTCCTCTTCCCGGCATACTTGGCTTGAAATCGTTAGTATCTGCGTTCAACGGACCTGTAGATGGCTCGGCAGCATCGTCAAATCCCACGGATCGAGCAGAGGACCGGCGGCTCCAACTGATCAATGAGCTCATTTCCTCCGCTAGCGGGCCAAAACGGAAGTCGGCCGCCGAACCACCTTTGGATAAGCCTGCAGAATCTAAAAGCCCTGAAAACAAAACACCTGTACGCGATGTGGTTGTGCAGATCCAGGACTATGGAGAAATCCAGGCTACTCGTGAAGGAGCTAGATTTATTTACTTATTGCAAAAAGCTATTCAAGACCGTAGAAGAAATGGGTCTCGTGTTCTATTTGTTGGAACTGCCTCACAAGACGCCGCTTCAGAATCGGATGCATCAAGATTAATGCAAAATGCATTTGATGACCAATTCTCCCAAATGCTTGTCATTACACCTGCCATGGGATTGGAAGCAGCAGAGAAAGTTTTCACGGATGATCGAAGAAAACGAACATTGGATATCAATATTCGCCATATTCAAGAAATGCTTCGGACACGGTTGGAGGATCCCTCGACCCTCGAAGACGATATATTCGGCAACCGTGCTTGGCCACTGGATGCATCCATCGTAAAAGAGTCCGGACTTGAAGAGCGGTATTGGCCCTACAGCCAGGTGCATTGGGCCACAACGCTTGCACTTGGAAGTCTTTGTTCCGACGAACTCTTTGGTTTCCAGCACATCCAGAAGGGAATCGAAATGATGCAAAGAACAGATCGCATTAAGAATGACTGGATGCAAGAGAAAGCACCCAAAACGAAGAACACAGAGACCGGTAGTGATCGGGAGCGGCTGTTGAGTTCATTACGCAAAACCTGCAATTCACACGAGAAAAAGTTGCTGAATGGGGTTGTGGACGCCAAAAGTATACGTACTACGTTCTCTGATGTCCACGTCCCTCCAGAGACCATCGATGCCCTGAAGACGCTCACTTCGCTTTCTCTCATTCGCCCGGAAGCCTTTACCTATGGTGTTCTTGCTACGGATAAGATTCCCGGCTTACTACTGTATGGGCCTCCCGGCACCGGTAAGACTCTCCTTGCCAAAGCCGTAGCTCGTGAGAGTGGAGCCACTGTCCTTGAGGTTAGTGGCTCCGAGGTTTATGACATGTATGTCGGTGAGGGTGAGAAGAATGTCAAGGCTATCTTCACATTGGCCAAGAAGTTGAGCCCATGTGTTGTATTCATTGACGAAGCGGATGCTATCTTCTGCTCGCGGACCGGAGCCAGCAGTCGCACATCCCATCGGGAGCTCATTAATCAATTTTTGCGGGAATGGGACGGGATGAATGACCTGTCAGCTTTCATTATGGTTGCCACCAACCGACCATTTGATCTCGATGATGCTGTTCTCCGGCGTCTCCCGAGGCGACTGCTCGTAGACCTGCCCCTTGAACAAGATCGGCTGGCCATCCTGAAGATCCACTTGAAGGAAGAGAATCTAGATAGTTCTGTTGACCTCGCTGAGCTAGCTCGCCGCACTCAACTCTATTCTGGATCCGATTTGAAGAACCTCTCCGTCGCCGCGGCTCTAGCCTGCGTCCGGGAGGAGAATGACCTGGCGGCTCAGCACCAGGGCGACGAGCCCTACCAATACCCAGAAAGACGCACGCTGACCTGGAAGCATTTCGAGCGTGGAATGGAGGAGATCAGCGCATCAATCAGCGAGGATATGTCGTCACTCTCGGCGATCCGCAAGTTCGACGAGCAGTATGGCGACCGCAAGAGTCGGCGTAAAAAGAGCCCTGGATGGGGATTCACGCCTGCTAGCACCGAGGAAGCTAGTTCCGATGCTGCGCGCGTACGGACATGATATGGCTACAATATGGGAAACATTTTAGAGGGATTGGTGTTCATTCTTGCGACAATAGGATTTGGGATCTCACGCGACGACTTGTATACTATTAGCGATATGATAAACCTGTATCAATACATACCATAGGCTGAAAAGTGACATATAATTTGTTGAATTATATACTATAACTCATCCTCGTCCGAAATGCATCATGAAGCCCAACGGTGGCTGTTAGTTAGTCCCTCAGCCCTATCAGATCTGCAGACGAATTTGGCGATGACATCGACGAGTAAATCTCCGCCTTTTTCGTCGACGAAACCATCACCCGACCAACTCTCTCTTCTTACCCCCTCTCGAGAGAGTTACTTCGCGGGAAACAGGAAGAGGGACTCAAGAGAAAAGAGTCTCACAATCTACTACCTATTGCTATTAGATTCACTATCAATAACCTAATATCCCTACACGAAACGAATCATTTTCTCCTCACGCAACACTCCACACGACCTTTTACCCCTCACAAACGCTCACCCGCTAAACTACCAACACAAACCTCCACGCACTCAAAGATATTCAAAAAAAATAAATATATTAAAAATGGCCACCGAAGCCCGCGACTCCGCAATCCGCGAAGCAAAACTCTACGTCCGCGAAATTGTCCGCAACGACTGGACCTTCCACCCCTCCACCGACGCGGGCGCACCAGCTTCCGCAACCCCCACGCCACCGGAGCAAGAAGTCACAGCATGGCGACTGCGCACATACGACAGCTCTGCGTCGGAGCTGGAGCCGCTTTCTTCACCTACAATTACCAGTCCGCTTAGCGGGTATGACTCTGCGCAGATTGAGAGTCCGATTTTGTCGCCGGTGGGGGAGGAGAGGGCCGAGCGGAGGCGCAAGCGGCGCAAGCAGATGGAGGAGGAGATGCGGTGGAATGAGGGGCTGAGGACTTGGGTGGAGCGGCGGGATGCATGGACGTGCGCGAAATCGAGGGAGGAGATTATTGCGAGGAGGCAGCTGAAGCAAGTGCAAACTCAGGCGGAGGAGGGAACTACCGTTAACGAGGAGACGCGAGACCAGGGTGCGTCTTCTGGGTCTGCTTTTTCGAGGCCGGCTTCGTCTTCTTCGCGAGATGAGGCGAATCTCGCGGCGAGGACCGAGGCCTCACTTTCTATTGCGGAGAAGGAGGAATCGGGTCCGTCGTCGGTGTCTGCTCAGCCCCATCAGGGTGAAGATCACAAGGAATCTACTGAGACGGGGGCCACAGAGCCGGAGATTGCTCTGCGACAAACGGTAACAGATGATGCTACGGGCACCGTCGCGAATGCTGCGACGCCCGCTCCTGCACCCGCTACCGCTGCAGCCACCGCGACTGCCTCTTCAAAAGCTCACCAGGGTTCTGAAGACCCCTACGTCCCCGTCGTACCCTCGCTGATCTCCACCTCCAACCCCATTCGCGCCTCGATCACACCCTCCATGTACCCCTCCATCTACTCAAAGGTCGTCGTGCAGGGCTTAACCCCCACTGTCCCGATCAACCTGGCCGACGTCACGAAGGCAATGGTCCAAGGCTGGAAAGCAGATGGCCAATGGCCGCCCAAACCAGCCACCACCAACCTCGTGCTCCAAGATACCGCGACGGTGCCCAAGACCGCCGAGGACGGGCAACCGTCATCGCCAGAGTCGAAGAGGAGATCGGGCGTCGTCGGCGCGGTCCGTAAGGTACTGAATTTCTCGGGTTTCCATCCTCATCCTTTCCATCGGCGCTCGAGTCATAGCGCTCAAGGGGACGTGAGCGGTGCTGTGAATACCGAGAATGCAGGGAAGTAGATTTGATTTCTCTGTCCGTTTTTAATTTACGGTCTCTCTCTTCTTTTTTTTCCTTTTTCTTTCCCCCCTCCCTCGTCTTTTACGATTGCCGTTATCTGGTTTATTTGGATGCTGTCATATTATGGACAACTACGCGCTCTACCCCACCTCGTCTACTTTTTTTTTTCTTTTCTTTTTGTGAATGTCGACATTTATCAGTGTACTATTGATAATATTTGAGATATGTATGATTGACGTGACGTCAGAAGCAATGATGCTACCCCTCCCCTGAATGTTCCTCTACGTGTATGTATAATGCGATTGATCTCCTGGCATGAAGACGCATGTTTTGGACGCCATGCTTGACGAATGAAAGTGGTCATTAAACAATTCATTGGATGCGCTCCCTTCTATGCAACCAATCATACAATCAAACAAACACTAAAGTACATACATACATAAATGGTTCATGCTATGAGTTATGATATGATTTTTGTAGTTCATCAATTCCATCCAAACCAAAGACACCATGTGCAGACTGTACCAAACAAACCACATACGCCTCTTATTAACAAAATACGCCATAATTAGCTTCAATAGATAATGGTGAAAGTGGACTGTGCTCTAATGGAGAGTATCAGATGAGTCAAGAGCCCGTAGCGTATCCAAGAAATTCCGAGCAGCATCGTCGAAGATCGCCAACGGGAAATTTTCCAAATTCGCAACCATGGATGGCTCGAGGTTTACCTCCTGCGGTTGGTGGCCGCCACGTCGAGTGAAGTAGTATTTGCCCTGGTGTCTGGACCAACTCTCGTTGATGTAGGTCTGGAGTTCGCGCGTTGCTGAGATGCGGATCTCGTTGAAGAATTTTGGGGCGTTGGTAGGTGTGTTTTCGGTTGTGAAAATGTTGGATGGGTGAGGGATGTTTTCTGGGTTGGTTATGAGGAGCTGGTCATGTAGGAAGGATGTGCTGAACAGTATGAACTGCCGGAATGCGTGTATCTGGGATATGATGTTGTCACCAGTGTCGGTGGCTCGATCAATGTAGTCCACGACTCGCAGGGAAGACGTTATCATTTCGATGAAAGAAGCAACCGTGATTACCACTGGGGGTTCTTTGAGCATGTTGGTATTGCCGACGATGCTATACAGAGCATGGTACGAGGACTGGAAGACCGAGCTGAAAATACCCACGACTGATGCAACGCAGTTCGTATCTGCGGTGTCTATATGGAAGAGCAATTCTTTGAAAGTGTGGGATATGGTCTGTATGATCGGTTGACTCAGCAGCCATGCACCGGGGTTGGTGAAAGCCATCTGAAGATATGCTGGAAACACGGACTGCAACAGGGTAGCCCTGAGGGTTGGCCTAGCCGGATCTCCCGCTTCATAAGTATGTGCTATGGAAGTTTGCAGCTGGTCGACAAGGTAAACCTGCTGACCGTCTATAGCCGCTCGCTCTGAAATGCCCTGGATGAACATGATCAAGGTTTTTGCGACCTTTTCAGATGAGAGCTTCGGTTCATAGCCTTTTAACCGTGCAACGATGTACGTCGGGTCGGTTGAAGGCAAAGGAAACGAGGTTGGATCGGTAAAGAACGGGTCAACGGGACAGATATCCCTCGTATGCTGCTGTAAGAATCCGACAATCCGGTGGACAAAGTCCACGTAAGCCCCTTGTGCACTTGCTGCGCTGTTGCCCAGCTCCAGATAATTTGCCTTCATTGAGGACATCATTGTCTGGATGAGTTCACGGTACTCTTGCTTCTCAGTTGAAAGCGCTCTACTTGCTGCAATCTCCAGGTCTTGGACGTGTGCGCGCATGTTTGACAGTAGACTTGATATTAAAGACAACCGACGTTGACTGAGTTCCTCCAGCGTGATTGAGTATCGACCATCCTTTCTATCCACAGAGAAGGGTAAATTCTGCAACAAATTATTGTTCGGCTCGCAATTCAACAATGCCTCAGTTAAAGAGTGCTGGAATTTCAACATCGATACTCGTTCAACTAAGCTCGACATCCACATCCCAAGGACTTGCATTTTGCATTCAGACATGAACCGAGCATCCTTTTCAATGCAGCTTGCCAAAAACTTAGGCGTGAACTTTCTAGTTTGCACCGTCTTTCGAAGCACGGCCCAAGAATCACCATCGTAAAGGCTAAGATAGTTATCCCAATGCCGGAACCCATTTTTCACAAGCACTTGGGCGATAGAGGTCCAACAATCGACAACATTTAGGAGAATTGCGTCCTCCGGGCAGTGATCCTCACCAAAACTGTTAGAGACAAGCTGAGATACCGCTGGGTGAAGGACCTTTTCCATGTATTCAATTCCTTGGGGACGGGTGGCGGGAGAAAACTCATTTCCGTACATTGCCTCGATGTCAGTCCAATCTCCATACTCTTGGCTATCTTCATCCATTGGCGCTGGTGGGTTTGCTGATCCAGGAGCAGAGGCGGAGTGGCACTTCTGAACATAGGCCTTTAACATCTGTAGAGCCGCTGACACTGTCGTGTTGACACGAGCAAGCCTAGGATTGAACAGCCCCAATACTACACTGATAGGTGACTTAGAAATCAGTCTATGGGCGTGCTCCAGTGTTGGGGCCGATTGAATAGCGTTCTGTAAGTTATCCAGGGCTGTCTTCAGTAGTGACTCGATCTGTCTCTGATTCTGTGAAATTGTCCGTTCGATCAACTGGTGAGAATACTGATTGTCCTTTGTGTTTTGCGCTTCTATCTCTCTTCGAGCAAGCATGTGCTGTTTAATGAATTCGCTAACAAAGTAACTATGCCAATCAGCAAATGCTTCTAACCCAGATACATCTTCGTCCGTCGTCAACTTGAAGCGCACAAGTCTGACCCATGATCGAATGCTGATATTGCAAGTCTCGCGGTGGGAATTGGCAGGATGTACAAGGTTCTTTATGGCCTCTAATCGAGGTCGGCACCCATCTGGGACCGCGTAATATAACGCACAAAGCAGATCGTGGTGGTTCCTTAGAGCATCTAGATCTGCCTGGTGGATAGGCTGTTCTTTTGGGTATACTCGGCCGTGATTTGGTAATAGACGCCAAGCGAAATTCCGTACTTTTTTCTTATCATACCTCTTGGACAAGAAGCGCAAGCCACTTGCAATGATCTTTATAAAGACATGGAAGCATGGGTCACTCTGCGTGGCGTCAAGGGATGGATTGTGATCAAGCTCATCCAAAAACGAGGGAGACGTGTAGTTCTCTTCCTGTTTCAGATTATATAAGGTGTTCCTCGCAAAGAAATCGTAGAGCGTATCTAAAATGAGTTTGCAATCCCTCCATCCCCAGCCGTTGATAAGCTGGAAGCATCTGAGAAATAAAGCTCGGCAGTAAGCGTTATAGGAGATAGATGCTGAAGTATTGGGCTTATAGCTTTCCAAAACAGGGCACAGCAATTGTCTCACTATTTTCCAGTTGTTGCAAGCCTCCCTGAAGCGTGATCCAATCCGGGCGATTCCAAGAGCGTCAATTTCGTCTAACGGTAGCGTAGTAAATAGCCAATGCCACCTCCTTTCTAAGCGACCAATATTCTTTGTATTGCTCTGGTCGCCGATTGCCAACAAAGAGTCGGCAATGAGCTCTTCAAAGCAGCCCTTCAGCTTTTCCGTACTGTACAATATCTGCCGAACAATGACGTAGGCCTCAACGGCTGGATATTCGTCTCGGACCCCTTTATCGCGTTGTTCGCACACCTTGTTATCTTCGAGAAATCTGCGAATATTGATTTCCCCTACTTCGCTCGAGATGGCTGTAAAGGCTTGCCTAGAAACTGACCTCACGAGTTCCAAGAGCTCTTCTGCCACGCTGTGATTAACGAGCTTATGACAAGCTATCTGGTATGTTAAGTTGGCGAATGCCACGTTGTAAGAAGCAATTCTCATACGAGACTCTGTCCCTCGAGCTGTCGGCGAGACTATGGCGGTTAAATTATCATTGACCTTGGAGATAAGCGCATGGGCCCTCGTTATAAAGCCTGTTCTATCGATAGGATCTATGAACGTTAGAGCCTCTGTAACGTACTTGACTAGGGTCCTGTATATAATGCAGGTGCGATCGTGTGTGTTTTGAGTGGCCGCCTCTGTGGACATCGTGTCGCTCTGTTCCATTTCCTCGAGTATGTTCTCAAATGCAATGCCAAGTTCAGAGGACACAGCGTCGTTCCAAGGTCCCCACCGAAAAGTTCGATTCCCAACATTCGCAGTAAAAATGCCAGCATCTTGGTCGAGATCACGCTTGCCGATCTCAAGCGAGCGACTGAATTCTCCACTTCCGATAAACGAAGATTCGTGGAAAAAGGTTCCCAGGCACAGAGGGGTGATTCCAAAATCCGTAGAGTACGAGTGTTGAAAACCGCTTAGTCCCTCTGAGACTCCTTTTCTGGGATGTGCATCTTCCCCTTGCACCCTAGGAGGGTCTAGATCCGTGGACAGGATCGGTGGATCCGTGTCTCCAGCAGTGCTAACATCCAATCTCATGGGAGTACGTTTCTTCAACTTCCGTTTGATTCGAACTGGACGCTTTGGGAGCGATATGCTCACATCGTTCGACTCGCGAGTGAGGGTGCTTCCCCGCGCCTTAGCATGAACAGATGCCTGGCTACTGTCGACAAGAAACCGATCCAGTATAATATTTCGGTCCACAGTCTCGGGCAAGCGTTTTTGCCAAGTATTTTGGTTGAGCAGGGAAAGTGACCTTTGAAAGGATGGCGCTCGGGAAACGTCAAGACTCGCCATTTCTAGCCCCACAGGTCTTGGGTCGTTCCTTTTTAGGGAGGAAACAACAACGTTTCTCCGGACAAACCAGTTGTTGCCATGTTGAATACGCTGCATAGGCTTCTCTGAAGTGGGGGGGGCTGTAGTAGGTGGTGGAGCTTCTTGATCTGGCATCTGATTCTGGGCGACATTAGCATCGTCCGGTCGTATCGATGGTCCAGCATTGATGGGGCGATCTTTGTTTATTTCCCCAGATCCATGATTTCTGGGTCTAATTTTCTTGTTTGAGGAAAGATCCGCCAACGGTGGTCGCCTGGGGGGCTTTGCTTGAGGCCTGGGCAACTTCGACTGCCGAATACGCCCGGCGCGCCATTCGCGCAAGGATGTGTTAGCATCTTCGGTGTCCAGAGCTGAACTCATCTTGATGACTTTGTTCGAAGGACTTCGTCTGCTCCTATCCTGTCGAGATCGTGCTTTGCGAGCAGCAACTCTGAGGAACTGTGGCTGCTCGTTTCGAGGCCGAGAAGCAACATCGGGAGCATCCAATATACCAAGCCTTGGAGGGGTGTGTGAGGAATGTTTCTTTTTTTCCCGCCTGTAGATGGGATCGGTCAGCCTCGCTTGTTTTTGAAGGCGAGGCCGTTTAGAATGACTGTCGGAACGAGTAAAATGGCTCTCAGACCTTTGTCGTTTTTGGCCTCCCTTTTGGGATCGAGGAGCTGAAGTTTCACGCGTTGCTGACGGAAACATGTAATCGATGCGATTGTCTTCTGGAATGTCCTCGCCCATACCTTCCGCTAGGAATGTGTCATCAAATCCGACCAAGTTGGCCAGTATCTGCCGCGCATTGCTTTGGCCATCATTGCCGTCACCTTCATCCGCATCACTACCATCAGAATCAGCTAAATGCTTTAATGATGCCAAATGCTCGACCGGATTTGACGAAGTTGAGGGGCCGGTTCTCTTGATGATCTTTTTAGCAACACCCTTGGTGTTTTCTGTTCTGGAATTCTTGTCGCGATGGCGCTGTGTAGAACTTAGTTGTGCATCCTTTTGTCTTTGTTGGTCTAACCGCAGCCATGAAGCCGGAAGTACACCTTTGATCCTACGTTGTAGTTCACGAACGTCCTCTTCAGGCTCCTGCTCTTCTTCTCCATCCTCTCCATCATTTTCTGAGGCGGAATGAGAATGTTGAGAGGCTGCGGACTGGGCATCAGCAAGCTCTCGATCAACGCCAGAGCTGGGCCCGTTGGCTGTGGTGGTAGCATCCCGCCCTCCCCGCCTCAGGACTGTGCTAGGCGTGTTTAACGTTGGCGGTGTCAACCCACGAGGGAACCGAAACTCAGTGGGATTCCATAGGGCCTGTGGGGAAGAATTACTTCCAGAGCGTGGCGGACTGGGCGGTATGTCCCAAGCCAAGCTATTGCTTAAATTGATAGGAGATGTACGGTTGTTTATAACCACTTTAGGCCGAGGCTGATGCCGTGATGAGTTCCTATGATCGTCTGGCCTTGATACTTTACGTCTCTTAGGTCCTCTGAATTCGTTCTCAGATAAGTCCTGGTGGGACGATTGCGGTTGACCTTCATGAAGGTCTTGAGTTGCCCTTGCCGCAGAGGTAGGATTTCTTTCCGCTGGAGACGACGGGGCAAACTCGAAGTCCGCGGCAGGGCTGCTCGAAGGTGGTAGGGTGCTATCAAAACTTTGACTTTGACCTTCGGCCGCCGTCTGCATTGTTTGCTGGTATTGAGCGATGCGAACTGGTTTGATCCCTCTGGCCTTCATAAGCTTTTGGTATTTCGCATCTTCCAAAAGATACGGGTGTAACTGGATGGGGTTGCGCTGTCGTAAGGACCTTCGTGCCGGCTGAGACATCTCTCGCAATATATCTTCCGGAATTTCGAGAGGAGGGAGTAACGCCTCTAGATTACTCCCTGGCGGTGGATTCTCTGTGTTCTCTTGTTCATCCTGATCACCTTCACCCAATGCCAAAGAGTGGAGGGACGACAGCGGAGAAGATAAAGGAGAAGGGTTGGCATTCTCCTTATTCTCCTGTTTCTCACCAGTGTCTGGCACTTTCGAAGGAAGGCCAACCGACCTCCGAGAAATAAGATGGTCTAGCTGTAGTTCGTCTGGTGAAGAGGTAGGTACGTCCCATATGTCTTTAGGTTGCTCTCTTAACGGGGTCGACGGCGGGCTTGGTCTTGGTCTTGGAGTAGCTGATAGAGTCGGGGATGGATGCAACTTTCTCCTAGGCGTAGCATCCTCGTCATTGACGTCTTCCGATAGCGATCCTTCAGTTATATCCCTAGCTTCCTTGTCGGGCACCTCCTTGGCCGAAGACTTTGCTTCCTCGTTTGCCTGGACAGGCACATCATCGACATTTTGACCGGCTGTGACAGATCGGAAATCATCAACAATGCCGCCTTGGGGGGTATGGTGCTCCTCTTCCTCGGTGTCTTCGTCCGGGGGCCTCTGGGGAGCTGTATCGAGCGCATAAGGCGCCGGGAATGCCCCAAGCTCATCGTCACTACTGTCAAGATCCTGATTCACCTTTTCCGGGCTGCCCAACCCATCATCCTCATCTGAGTCCGGTACAAACCCTCGTTCCCGCCATGATTCCATGGCCCATCTCACTAATACTCCATTACTTCGTAGGCGTAGGCTGTGAACAAGGGATCTCCGCACCCCCAAATACTAACTGGGGATAGATATCACCACTGATATAAAATAAGTTTGAAGGAAGTAATTACCAATTAGGTGGTGGCCAGTTCAGAATTGCTTGAAAGTGGATGTCGGGAAGACGCGTTGAAAATGTGGGGAGACGCGACGGAAATTATTCATGGCGGAACTTTGGCGATTGATGCGGTAAATCTGTTAATGACTTCCGACTCTGGACATCCTCCTTGGCCTCACTGGTCTCCCGAGAAACGGCCTAACTAAAAAGCAAAGGAATAGTGCTTGTCATTTCTCATTCTACATTTTTCTTCTGATACTACTATGAGTCGAAACTGGATTCCGGCGCTTGTAGCCATCGGAGTGGGTGTCTTCTCAGGTCAGTACTGTCCAGAATGCAGAATGCAGAAAGCCAGGACCGTTCACTAACGTCCGCTCCTACACTTAGGCTATTATACCTTCCAACCTTTACTGAAGGATTTGCAGATGGAGAAGGCAGGCTCCCAGCGGTACGTCGTTTTACCTATGATGAGGATTGCCCTTCCTTCATCCCGTCCATGAACTGATACGACGCCGTTGGATATTTTCAGACTTCAACTTGGGGAGCAAACTGTAGCCCCTAATGGCGCTCAGACCCCTACTGCGAACACCAAAGAAGGCTCGAACCCTCCAGTGACGCCAAATACAGAAACCACGCAGGGCGGAAATACAAAGTAGATATCAATGGAAACATACCCAGCTTAGTGGCGCTTGCGCGGTGCGATGCGGCGATGCTCTCCAGGCACATAAGTGACCTGCCAGAGCTCACGCTATCATACCAAATTCTCAGAATTTTGAAAGGCACCCCATGGAACATATAGAGTGAGTGGAAAGAGGTCCGCGTCAAACCACACCTTCTACCCTTTTCTGGCAGTAAGTCGGCCACTGGCTCTTGAACTCTCATGATTGACCATCAAGGGTATGTGCGTGATCCCAAGAGCAATAGATCTTGGAATTTAGTGGTGGCTCAGTTTGCCGACTAGCAAGCATCCAAAGTAAACTCCTCTGCAAGCCTGTAACTACACACATTTTATAGCCACTATTCGGTCCTTAATAAGTGTTACTTGGTATATTTCTACAAGTGTCAACCTTTCAAAAATTATAACTAAAAACAGGCCCTATTTCCTATAAAAACTCCCCCCTGAACCGGGTATGCCAATCACTAGATACACAGTAAGACGATCAACGGGAAAACCATGCTTCTTCAATATACAGCCCATCCCGTTTAACAAGACATTTTAAATAGACCCACGGTTTTTAAAACTCGACTTTTCCAGATACGCCAGCTCCATTTGCACCTGACTGCCAAACTGATCAGTCATACTTCTTCCACCAGCTTTCTAGGCCCACTGCTTTCCAGGGATGGTTCCCCAAAGACTCGTCCTGCTGGAGCACTAAGCCATTCCTCTGATATAATCATCCTGCTTCCCTCGCGCCCACTAATCCATCTGACCATAGCTGGATCCAGTCTCTCGAATTCCTGTGTCTGCTGCTCTGCAGAGGCCGTTTCGGCCGCTTCAGCAGCCGGAATGCGACCACGCCTCTTCGGGGCTTGCTTCCGTAGAAGCCTATTGATTGTATCCATCTATCCTATTGCGTCAGTTTCTACTGTTTAACAATTATAGAGAGAATTTTGCCTCGATAGCCATCGAATCGAGAAAACAAGACTTTATAGTACTCACTTTTTCTTCTTCATTGCGCTTTTCGCTAAGGTTCTTTCTTCGGCGAGCCATTTCAGCACGGCGCATGGCGCGCTCCTCTGCGGTCAAATGCTTCTTGACTTGTGGTTCTGCGCTGCATTAGACGATATCTCCAAAGCAAACTCGCAAGGCTTGCACAAGGACTTACCCATCGGGAGTTGCAAGAAATCGTTGCCCAAGTTACCCCTTTGGCGTTTTGTCATCCTGGCGGGATCGGCAGTAGGAGTATCATCATCACTATCGAGATCTTCCTCGTCCTCTTCATCCTCATCTAGGTCCTCCTCGCCTCCATTGGCGTTTTCAAGTCCATTCTCATCCTGATCGTCAGGCTCACCTTCGGCATCCGATTCAGGATCAGAGAGCTCCTCATCATCTTCGTCGTCCTCGGCATCTAGTTCCATCTCTTTTGCCTCGACGCTTTTCACTGCTTTAGAAGTGGACGCGGCAGATTTGGCGTGTCTTTTTGACACTGGAGGTTGCGGAGGAGCATCATCCATGTCTAAATCTCCATCCGCATCTGCATCCTCGTCTTCCTCACCGGGAGCATCTTCATCGTCCACTTCATCTTCTTCCTGGTCGTCCAGGTCTTCGTCGCTCGTGTTAACTTCGACGAGCTTCTTCTTGGGCCGGCTAGTCCGTGGCCCTGTAACTATGGGGTTTTCTGTGAAAACATTGACAGAGCGTCTTGAGGCACCATTTCGTGTGGTACTACTCGTAACCTCGCGCAGCTTACTTGAAGGCATCTTGACAGTTAAACGGATAGATCTCCTTGACTCCTCTGGAGTGTCTGAGGGAGACCGGAAGACAGTCACTGATGAAGATGCGACAGCGCGGGTAACTCTGGTCGGGGTTCTGGGACTTGCGTTAGAATCCAAGTCTGGTGGATCATCCCGCACAGGGCGGGAGCGAAGTGAGCGACGCAGAGACATAATCAATCGACAGGATTGACTTGATATGGGGTATGGATGGAAAAATGATAGAGCAAAGGGTATAAAAGGTAACAAGGTGAACTTCTCAAGAATCGACAAACGAACTGAGTTTGTAAAAACGCAAACAGAAACAATCAGGGAAAACACAAAATGAGGCGGGGGTTTAGTCTCGTATAGGTGGACAATAGTAGTCAGAGGATAGTCAACAATAAGGCTATCTGAGAAGGTGGTGTCATCTGATGGTGAAGCAAGTTCGGTCGTGGTAGAGATACAGAGGGGAAAAGAGGGGAATGATTGATGGACAAGGAAACAGCCATGCGGTAGTTATGACCGACTGACTACGTGGGCCAGTACAGAGAAGTGGTGGTGATGCAGTTCGGGAAGGCACAGGCCATCAATCCCTATCACATCTTTTGACGCCACTTGAAACTTCCCATCCGACATGAAGGACAGAACCAATGGGAACATTCTGGACTAAGATCTCAAGCGGATACACCAGTCAAGGGCGGGAGCGCGGTGAACGCAGTGTTGGTGCGTTTTTTTCTCCTGCAACCCCGACAGGATATTACTGTCCGTCCTGTGCGCTGCGTGGACAGGGATCCCTGACCGAACAAGGGGGGTGGATACAACTTTAATATAATCGGAGAAAAGTGAAGGGAACGAGGCGAAACGAAAAATAAAATAAATGAATAATAAAAAAAGGGGTACAGTAGTAGACTAAATCCACGGGTAAATGTGCCCTGAGTACATGGATGTATGTATACGAAAAGGAATAAAGGGAAAACTCACAAAGGGCTTCGGATTGGTGAGATACGTACCACCCAATCTTGCCGGATTTGACGCTGTTTGTATATTCCAATCGATTCTGGAGGATCAGTGTATATATTACCCAGTCGAACCAACGGCTCGCACAGTCCCTGATGATCTTCTTGGTCTATTCTTGTCGCAAATGAACGATGGGGAGACAATCGGACCCCGTCATGTTCATCGTTGATTCTGCCGCCAGGCGGTATCTCTATTCCTGACCGCCTACCCTGGACGGGTTGGCCATGTGGACCAGCATTACCACGTATGACAATACCGAGATTAAACCTTCTCCGGAGGACGAGGACAACCGAGGTCGCAAGAGGTCAAAGCATTAGTACTTAGTAGTACTAGTAGTTCTTCCCTCACATGGTCGTCGAACGGCCTATCTTTTCCTACCTCTCTCACCTCTTTCTCTTCCAATTGATTCATTTCATGATACAATACTTTCATTGTAATCAGGTCGTTCTTCATCATTTTTAACACACCATGGCTGATTCTAAGCCCAAAACCCCTTCAATCCCTCAATGGCAACAGCCCTCCGCCACCAACTCCGCCTCCGCATCTCCGCCGAGCTCCGATGATGCTTCACGATCGGAACTTCTACAGCAAGCGACCAAGTTTTTAGAAGATGAGTCCTTGCGCGACGCACCACTAGATCGCAAGGTATCATTTTTGGAATCGAAGGGTCTCCGACAAGATGAAATTGACAGTCTGCTGGGTGTGTCGCGAAACTCCGAGGCAACCAGTAGTACGGCTGCAACCGAGGGCGATAACAAGACCAGTGAGTCTAGCATAATGAAGGACACACCAAGCGACTCAGCCTCTTCATCGCCTTCCACTTCGACATCTCAATCATCCTCTTCTCCTGCTACCACCATAAACAATCGGCAATCCTCGTCCGCTCGTGACGTCCCACCGATCATTACCTACCCGGAATTCCTCGTCAATCAACCCAAAACCCCTCCGCTAGTGTCCCTTCGTAGCCTCATCTACACTGTCTATGGCGCTGCAGGTCTAGGCGCTAGTATCTACGGCGCAAGCGAGTACCTCGTGAAGCCCATGCTCGCCAACCTGACAGGTGCACGACACGAACTGGCCGAAACAGCCCAGGATAACCTCAAGAAATTGAACGAAAAGCTAGAGCAGAATGTATCCACCATTCCTCCTCAGCTCACGGCGCGTCGTGCTCAGTCTATTGGCTCAAGCTCTGATGATGAGACCGAGTCTGTCACATCCGACCCAGCGGAGCTATTCCACCGCGATGTCGCTGTCCAGACCACGGAAGATTTCAACCTGGAGAAGTCATCCTCATCAGCCGCGAATACAGCAGACACAGAATCTTTTGACCCCAGTGCAACTGTGAATACACATGTAAAGCGACTTGAAGTCATCAGGTCGCATCTTCAAGAATTCTCCGAGACCAACAAGCAGTCGAGTACGTGCGATGATACTGTTCGCAGTAGCCTTAACGAGCTACATCATTACCTAGATGGATTACTATACAGTAAATCTGGCTATGGCGCGGGAACCGGCTACGGGGTCTATAGTACTCCCGGCTTTGACAGCAGCGGACACACGACTGGCTTGGGTAAAGGCGAGGAAGACGCCATATCCAACTTCAAGTCTGAGATTAGAGGTGTCAAGGGTGCTTTATTGAGTGCCCGGAACTTCCCTGCTAGCCGGGGACCGAGAATCAGCAGTGGTATTGGCAGATGAAGAGAGGGTGGCCTTTATGCTGATTCTTTGGTTTGAGGAGACGAATCAATATCATGTGAACATATATGTTTCTTTTTCTTTTTCTTTCTTTGGCTTGGTTACGGAAGAATGTATTGGTTTCCAGCAATAACCAGCATGGCGTTAGGAATGATCTGGTTTACAATGGTATCGAAGATGTCTGCTATACTTCGATTGCAATGTATACCTTGACGATGGCTTATATTTTACATTAAGTTACACCTAAAGAGATAGATATATCTGCAGTGTATACGCATAACTACAAATCACATTCTACAAAGCCATGCTGAATAATCGATAACTGTACCGGAGCTTTCTTATCAGGTTTAAGAATGATACTGTCATTGCAGCATGCAAAGCACAGATCCTGAAACACAGATAAGTTCGATGAACCATCCAGAGCAACAAAGACGGGGAGAAATAAGTATCTGTTCCGATTTTCAACCTACCACAACGGCAGCGGATTCATTCCAGCGCAATACTACCAGAACATTCAATCGAGTTCTATTATTTTTTCCTAGAAAGATTTTAATAACAAAGGCTCTTTGAACCGATCATGCTAAACTTAGTATAGGATAATCTGGCATGGTGTTCTCCTAGAAGGTCTCCATATCGAAGGTTCTCAATTGCCCGGATGGTGTTACGAATATTTATAATTCGAGATTGAGCCACTTTTTGACTGTCCTTATCCCTCAAAGGAGCTGGGAGCTGTTTACCCTGCAAGGTAATAATTCACCGTGAAAGGACCGGAATGGTTTCATGTTGAGTTCTCTGTAGTTTCCCAAGGATTCAAACCGCGCGTATAAATAAAACCGTTTTAAGTCTCATTGTTTCTACAAATGGTCGTCTGCGACGATCTTAATCATGAGGTCTTCCGTCAAAGAAGCTATGTGTTTCTGTTCTTCATATAAATTTATATAAGGCCTCATGATCACTTAAGCAAATAGGCTTGGTGTGCTACCGAACTATTAGACTGAAGATTACCCACACAGCCTGAATTGTTCTACGTTCTCAGTGTTATTTCATTCTTATGCATTGCTACTGACACACCCCAGCTTCTGAAGAGGGCTTGGGGGCTTATCCACTCTTCATAGCTGGGTTGCGGGTGGTTTAGACGCTGTAAAAACTGGATCTGGTTTGAAATCTACTGCTGATATTTCGTAAACAATGAACATAGTAATAACATTTAGACAAGAAGAACAATTTCTAGACCAATACATGAGAACGTCACACTACTGGCCTTGAAAGATAACCGACCACTACACGAAGCACAGACCCTTCTTCTCCCACACACAACTCATAAAATTTGCTTTATGCACATTCACTGTTTACAAGCTGTGGCCCTTTATGGGGTTGCCTTGCTCATGCTGATGAGACGTTTCACACCAACCTATTCATTTGGTTAAAACGACTCGAGTAAAAGACACGACAATTTATTTGATAACTTACCATCCACTGACCGCATTCATCAGTCCTGTTTGTCAGGATATCCACGTGAATAGCACGCGCTGCCTCGTAATCACGCGCCTGAATGGCACGTGCCAAGTCTGCCATGTCAGAAATGGTGTTCGGCTTGAGCAGATCTTCATTGTTCAGGTGATCGAACAGAAGGTTCAACCGCCGGTCAGCATCTTCAACTTGTTGCTTGAATGATGTAGGCGCACGGCCTTTGATGCGCTGCATATCCGCCGAAAGGATCTCATAGATAGGCATTGCGTCTTCAGGGATATGGGAGCGATCACCAGGTGCTAGACAAGTTAGATGGGTGAGGTAAGGCAATTCGGAGAGTAACTTACGATACTTGGGGGTCGCAGGAGCTGGAGTCACCTTCTGTTGTGAAGAAGCTGTCCCGGGCCTAGAGGCTGTGGCTGGAGGCGGTCCCTGCTGCATTGGTGGAGGGGGATGCGCTGGTGGTGTGCTGGGAACATACTGGCTCGCCGCCGGAGGCTGGGGGGCATATGGTGAGGCACCTGCCTGCGGAGGTGGGGGAACAGGGCCCCGCGCCTGGAGCTGTGGGTTTGCCGCTTGAGCTGCCGGGCTCGGAGCGTACCGGTTAGTTGGGGGAGGCATAGACGGCGGAGCGTTGTAAGGAGACGGGCCACGTGGAATTGGCGCCGGTACCCCCATGGTGCCGGGGGTTAGCTGAGGAGGAGATTGTGGCAAGGATGCATAAGGGTTTGGAGGCGGGGTAGGTCCTGGGGGGATAGTAGATGGTGGAGAAGTCACCCGGGGAGGTGGAGCAGTGCCCTTTGGTGGAGGGGGAACTGAGGGTGTCCGCTGAGTAGGTGGAGCCCCGGGTGGTGGAGGCCCTTGAGAGATTGACGGGGACTGGTTCGGGAATGGCGAGGTGATAGGTGCAGAAGCTCCGGCGGGAGTTCCTCTCCGGGGTGTCGGAGCCTTCGCGAAGCCTTCGGGAAGATCGTTCCAAGCAGGGAGGTTGGTAGCTGTAGTGTACGTGGTAACAGTTGCGGGGGATTGATTCGACGCGCGTGGTGGAGGAGGCACCGAGCCACCTAGGGGTTTAGCACCATAGGACGGTGCTGGCGTGGGCTGGTATCCTGTGGGAGCATAGCCGCCTCCAGAACCCGGCGCATATGGGTTCGTTGGCTGTGGGGGGGCTGCAGCACCAGGCGGGGCGTAAGGGTTGGTAGCAGGCGCTGGAGGTGCGTATGGATTGGAAGCAGCAGCCGGGGGGGCGTACGGGTTGGTAGCAGGCGCTGGAGGTGCGTACGGATTGGAAGCAGCAACCGAGGGAGCGTACGGGGTTGGAGCTGCGGCGGGCGCAACAGGAGAGAATGTTCGTTGAGGCTGGTAAGCGCTGGTAGTTGGAAGAGGCTTGTTCAGTGGCGTTCCACGACCAGTGGTCGTTTGCTGCGTCTTCTGAGTAGTTGGCTGCCTCGTCGCCAGCTTGATACGATTTCTTGCAACCTCGGCCTCGGGGTGCTTCTCCGGAACAAGGTCCAAATACTTCTGGGCCACTTGTAGTCTTCCATGGGTAGCAACCACATCAGCATACTCAATATACTTGTCGTACAAGCTGCTGAGCTTCCAGTCAGACTCCTTGGTACGCTCCGTGTCCTGGAACTTAGTGACCTGGCGGAAGATTGTCACCTTCTCGATCAGCCTCTGCAAAGCACGAACATGGATCGAGAAAGAGGTGTCATTTGCAGCTGTTTCAAGGGCCTTCTGCTCATTCTCGCGAAGCTCCTCGATCCAAATCGCGACAACCTTCTCCAGCTTAGAGCCAGCCAAGAAGCAGAACGAAGCATCTTTGCGAAGGCTCTTGTCGTCCGAGACCCGAATTTGTTCCTCTAACCTGTCACCGAGAGCGTCACAAAGATCAGCAAATTCCTTTTCTTCGGCAAAGGTGCACAGCGCTGCCATGACTTCCTTCCAGTTAGACAGGTCTGCGTTGTACACAACATCCCAGAGATTCTTGCCAACAATGGATGCTAGCAGGCGGACATAGTTCGGACTCTCTGTCTGCTTGGAGAAATAGTGCTCCTGCGCCTTTGCGATGCACTTCTGACCTCCGCAGATAGCAATCATAAAAGCATCGGATAGGCGATCTTCTTTGAGAGCGACATCCAGTGCCTTCTCAAAGTCACCAAGGAGCAATGCCCTCGTGATTCCCTTGTCTGCTTCCGCCTCGGAGCCATTAAAGATATGGAATGGATTGTTAGTCTTGGCTCCCTTCGACGCAGCCAGGTCCGACAAGAAGTTGTCTGCTTCAGGGCTCGCATCAAACATTGATTGCAGGCGTTTGTGCTTCTTCGCGCCCGGCCCGCGGGTTTCTTTAGGCGACTCTCCATTAGTTTCCTCCTTACCCAAGCCCAGGTTAGCCAGCTTGTCAGCAGCCTCATCAGCAGATTGGTCCTGGAACCCAAGATATTCGGCAAGTCCCTTACGGGGGTTCTCAGAGATCAAAGCCTCGATGACCTTCCAGTCAGCTTTTTCTTCCTCGGTGGCAGCGTTTGCGGCTCTAGTTTCGCAAATGCTTCGAAGATCGCCCTCCTTGAGAGCATTCTCAAAGGTCTCAGTAGACTGACCAACAGCCTCATCTACTTCGAACGGGGTGATCTTGATCTTGGAGGCACGTTGGCCCTTCTCCACTAAGTTGACAGAAACCACCCTGCCTCCAAAACCAAAAGTGGCACCACAGGGTCTCTCAAGCCACTTAGGGGCCTTGGGCAACGAGAAGCTCGAGACCTGCGGCTGGGTCTGTGCCTTTGCAAAGAAATCCTCCCCATCAAGTGCTTGGTTCTGGTCTGCGATGGCTTGAGCAGTTTCAGTGCTGGTGTTCTGAATAGTCTGGACCGCGATCTTGCCATCGAACGAAGCTGTGGCGAAGAAGTTAGGGTTGTGAGGGTTCCAACGAGTCTGGAAGGTCCAGTTTGTGACGACAGGGAATTCGCCATAGGCGTGACCAGTTTGTGGGTTCCAGCAGAGCGTGCGATTGTCCTTTCCAGAAGAGAGAAGCAGATCGGGATCGTGGCTACACCATGAAAGCGATAAGACGCCAGATTCGTGTCCTTTGAGGACCTATGGAACGTCAGTGATATCTGTATCCCTATGTGCTAACGCCAGGATGCCCAAACTTACCCTTTCTGGAGCATGGGAATTGCGGAGATCCCAAACATAGATCATGGGGTCAGACTCCAATGGTGTCGCCGTAACGAGTTTCGTAGGCTATATCGTGTTAGCAGCCACATTAGTTTCCAGGATGACGGGCATAAGCATCTTACCTTCTCAGGATCCCAAGCAACGGCGCTGACAGCTTTACGGCCCATATTGTTGAGAGTCAAACTCTCCTTCTTCGTCTTGACATCCCAAACAGTGACAAATCCTGCACTGCTACCGGTAACTAAGATATGTGCAACCTTCTTATTCCAATCCAAACACTCAATATCATCAGCACGGGCAGCGGTACCGAGTCGGTATGGGTTTGCGACATTGTTCAGATCGGAGATGTAGAGCTATTTCAAGCCATCAGCAATGTATTCCTGCGATTCTCAATCCTGAATTTGGTCAAGTACCTCTCCTTTTGCGCCACCGGTGGCCAACAAATTGGAATGTCTGGGGTTGAATTGGAGGGCCTTGATGGCGCCTGAGTGTTTGGAGGTCCTCGAGATCACGGCGTCGTCACTTTCCGGTAATCAGCCAATGGAACAATGTATGAATGACGCTTTCCTCGGGAACACACCTCGATCCATTGATCAGCTTATCGGCGTCCCACAAGTCCAGCGACCCGTTTTCCAAAGCACCAGCTATTACTCCCCGTGTGTTGTCCTCGGATGGGGTCCACGCTAGGTCATTGAAACTATATAAGCAGCCGTTAGTATATCACACTTGCTTCATGAATCGAAAACGAGGTGATAATTACCCGGAGTCGGTGTCAAACTTCGCAATAGGCTGCAACTCTTCGCCGGTGCTCTGACGGTCCAGGCCCAGGTCCCACAGCTCGAGACATGTTTCATTCGAGAAGTCAACGTCGACTGCGCCGGCCCGAGTACCGGTAGCAATTAATGGCGATGCTGCACCGGGAGACCAGGCAAATGTGGCCGTCCGGGGAATCTCCCTCAGACGAACCATGTTGAAAGGAAAGGAGCGGAAGGAACGAAAGGTACTATAGATTAGGAGATAACCAGACTAAGGAACGGTCTGGCAGCAACTATCATAAAACGGGGAATCGACGAATTATTAGAACTAAAAGATGAAAGGGATATTTCCAAACGTAACCTCCCCTCCCTAACGAGACCAGAGGGGTGTATGAAAGTTGCCAAGTAGCAGCGGGATGCGATCGAGACGTCAACTGCACAGTTCCCAATCAACCAAGTGTCCTCCTGGAGGCACCGGGGCGATTGGCGCCTAACCCGTTCGGGCGCTCGCCAAAACACCCGCAGAGGCACGTGATATCAGGTTGCTTGGTCCAGAAAGTCTGGGCAAGGTATCATCCGTGGAGAGCTGCGAAAGAGCGTGATATTTGTGACTGGGGCAGAGCCCTCTTACCATTAGCTACAACTCTATGGTGCGATAAGACTACCGAGTTTCCGACCAGACACACCATGAGCGAAGCGGCGCGCTTGAAATGTACCGTCTATGTTGGGGGTCTCGACCAGGCGGTTACTGTGCAGACGCTGGCCGAGGCATTCGTTCCCTTCGGCGAAGTTGTTGATATCACGCTCCCGAAGCCCGACGTTCCCAATTCGAATGAGCTCCATCGCGGGTTTGGCTATGTGGAATTTGATGTACCTGAAGATGCAAAAGAAGCGATCGACAACATGGATGGAAGCGAGCTCTACGGGCGTACGATCAAGGTTGCTGCTGCAAAGCCACAGAAGGACAGCAATGAAGGCCTAGGAAGCAAGACGGCGATCTGGGAACAGGTGCGCAAGGTGATTCATCTTCGTTACGGGCAGATTTCTAACTACGCATGTGCAGGAGGGCTACTTGGCCAAATACGCAGTCGACGAAGAGGATAAGTTAGCGGCAGAGCAGGCTCAAGCAGCAGCCAACGATCGTTCTCACGACCCCATGCAAGGATTGGAAGAGCTGGACGTCGCTGGTCCGAAGCCCGAATAAGCTCTAGAAACTCGAAGGTCATGAAACAGGAAGCCGTGCGACAGTAATATTGCAATATTACTCCATCAGAACCCTCCGTTCAAGCCGTACTATATACACGCGCTCCAACCGAGTTTTTTTTTAAGAAAAAGTTTCAATTTCTCCCGCGACATCAAATTTCCCGTGAATAATACAGACCGCCGACAAAAATCACACCAAGGATCGCCATTGCAATTGAAATATGGTAATACACTTTAGTGCTCACGGCTCTCAGGGCTGTTGCGGCTAAGACGAAGAGTCTTGTCGGTCATGAGCTTCCTGCCGCTGGAGTAGATAGCAGCTCCAACAGCGACGCTAGAAGAAAATGCGTCAGCATGAGCGCAGGTTTAGTGTGGGGAGGTAGTAGCTGGGGGGATTGATCATGTAATATAGAGTTCAAAGAATCTCGAAACAGTCAACATACCCAAGGACGATACCTAATGGTAGAACGGTTAGACACATAGTGGTTCCATGAGGAAAACCTTAGATCCATGACATACCGAGAGGAATCAACTCCGGGGGGACCCTCTTGAGGGTGCGCAGACGCTGGGAGATAGTGTGAGCTGCAGCTTTCAGTTAGTCCAATTACATCCCTAAGCAACGCCTCCTGCAATCAAAAAGTCAATTGCAGGTCGTTAGAGTTCCCATACCGCTGTTGGGCTCCTTCTATAGCGATCGTTAGCACACAGGACTCGAAGCCGTTTTTTCCCGGAACGAAGAACACCAAATGGGACTTACAGGAGTAGGGAAAGCAAAAGGCCGAGAGGCCTGCATCCGCAAGACACGAGTGGGGAACATGGTGAGGGTGGACGCTGAGGTGGGAGCAGAGATGGTGGTGGGATGAAGATCAGATGTGGTGACGGAAGCTCACGACGTTTGAAGGGAGGTTTGAGTAGTACTGCCTTAGGCTGGATTCGGGTGTTTAGGAAATCTTGCCGCATGAGTGGCTCGCTAGACCGCCCGCGGTCACTCCCGGATTCACTGCTTCACGGGATCATTCCACCACTCCACTGGCGCAAACCTCACCCCATCTTCCTTCTCCAACTCCCCTCTCACCCACGCCCAACCCACCCCATATACCCCTTTAAAATTTATTCTAGAGACCTTTCTGTCTCCTTACAGTCAAAATGGGTGCTATTCCTGAGGCCGATCCCGATGAGCCCATGGAGACCAAGCCCTTCAAGTTCGTCACAGGTGAGCTTAATCGCAGCCAATCTCGAGGTTTAGAGCCTCAAATCGGAGTCAATTGCTAACTTAAGTGCAGCTGGTACGTGATAATTACGTCTATTACCGATTGGATCGCTCGCAATGCCGCTGCAGTCGAGGTTTTCATATCGGGTGTAGTCCATACGTGGTGCTGACAACTTCTGATGTAACAGGCTATGATGCTCGCTTCCCCCAGATGAACCAGTATGTAAACTTTAATGATCTACGCCTCAATTCCTCTAAGGCAATTGCTAATTCCCCTCTTCACTCCAGGACCAAGCACTGCTGGCAAAACTACGTCGACTACTACAAGTGTGTCACCGCCAAGGGCGAGGATTTCCGTCCATGCCGTCAGGTATGTCACTTTTCTCCGTATCCCCGACCTGGAATCAAAAGAAACCCAAACCTGCATGTAAAGATAGACGGGCTTACCATTGATCCAGTTCTACCACGCTTTCCGCTCCCTGTGCCCCAAGGCCTGGACTGACCGCTGGGACACCCAGCGCGGTATGTAAATTTCTTTCCCAAATGGTTAAAGCTGCCCCATCAGCGACTAATCTCACTTCAACAGAGGCTGGCAACTTCCCCGTTCGCCTGGACCACTAGACGAGTAACAAGTCATTGTTGATTGATTTTTCAAGCATTTTTTGTGTCAACATGTACTCTACCTGATCAAAGCGGGAATACAAATTCGTCCCTTGGATTGGCTCGGGAGAAAAATATATATTGATTCGCCGTAGTTGAAGATCCATTGTGCTCCTATTCTGGTCTATCTATTGTTCTTCGCATCTGTAGAAGGCTTCACTATACGCCTTATGGTACCTGCAATTAGCGCCTTTTGTTTCAACCAATATTAGTAGAGATATCGGTAAGCGGAATATGCAAGAACGATTGAGTTAATAGCCCCGACTGTCAACCCAGTAGAGTTTAGTCTTCTATCTGATATCCAAATGGACAAACCATTCTATCTATTCCAACTCATAATATAGCCAGTATATGTCCAATAAAAGCCAGTGCTGCAACCGCGAAGTCACTTCCGGCACTGAGACAGTCTATGATAGATAAACAATTGCTGAAGCAAAGGTCCGATACCCGGTATATTTCATCCAGGCTCTCCCAATGCAAGGGTTTCTCGGTGCAGCCAACAGACAGCACTCGCAGAAATCGAGGAGCCAAAAGGGACAGCACTCGCAGAAATCGAGGAGCCAAAAGGGACAGCCAAATCACACGGGGGCGTGAGGGAAAAAAGAAAAAAGAGAAAAA